TACCAGCGAGACTTAAAAAGGCAGAAACAACAATTCACGAGTTCTGTCTGACCCAAACTGTGGCCTTGATGCCGGACTTATCTCAACTCCTCCTGGAATGTTTTAAACCAACAAAGAGCCTCAACTGAGCTGAAGATGAACGTCTCCTCTTATCTGGACAATGACTGGGGGGGGTCTCTGGTCTACGCTACGACCTTCCCTTAAAACTTCAACATCTTCTCCGCCTGCATGTTCATGTATAACGTCATGTTGCTTTGCTGTGGAGGTTTTTTGATGCCTCAAATCGTGCCCTGTCTGGGACACGGAGTGAGACATCTTTTTATTTTATACCGTCTCTCCTCGTGTTTTCTTTCCTTTTCTCGTCTATAAAAATATTATTCTGAATAAGAAGAAGAGGCAGCACTTTTTATAGCTGCAGCTTCGTGCACTCCGTCCATGCATGTTCTCCTTGTATCTCAATGCAATGATAATAAAGTTTATTCTGATTATTGTCCTCATCACAGATTGTTCTAGTCCTCGGAAAATAAATAACCAAAAGCTGAAATAAACGAGGGTCTCTGTCTTTGGTGGAAGAAAGTTAGAAAGTCACCTTTAATTCTTCTGTGGCATTCTATTTATGTTGAATTTATTGATTTCTATATCGTTTCTAAATAATTTCTATATTCAAAGGTTTAAACAAGACCTCCCTAGATGCGTCCACAAAAGGATCATCACATTTCTATATTATTATATGTCTATATATATATATTAGTTCACAATAATTACCATTTAAAAAAAAGAACATATTTTTATACAAAAATAAAAACTCACAGAGACTTAATTCAGTTTTTAAACTTTATAAACCGAGGTCTGTTTGGTCTTTTCCTGTCTGTCAACGATGTGTTTTAATTCTCTAGGACAAAAGGGGGTTTGTCTGTATTTGTGTTAATTAGGCTGAATTCATGAAAATGTAGAAGATATAGACATCACTGCTTTTAATTCTTTTTTACTGGATCTGTTTTGTGGCTGAGTGGTTAGAGCAGTCGTCCTCAATGCAAGAGTTGGGGGTTCGATTCCACCAGCAGTCTCATGCCGAAGTGTCCCTGGGCAAGACACTGAACCCTTCACTGCCTCTGATGTGTCTCATCAATGTCTGAATGTGATCTAAAGCTTTGATTAGTCTTTGTACAGATCTAGTATAGAGCTGTTTGAATAAATGAGGCACAGATTGTTGTAAAGAGCTTTGAGTGTCTTCATAAGACAGAAAGGAGCTACCGGTACACAAGTACAGTTTATTTATCATTTATCGAGTCTGAGTGATGTGCATTTCTTCAGCGCATACCAAAACTTTAAATAATCGTGTTTATGTAGTAGAGCTCTTTAATACAGTTTATTTATTTATTTCACAGTTAATGAGTTGTGGTTTTTTCTGGCCGTGGATCTGGAGAACTGATTAAAGTGATGTCCTTGTGTTTTGAATTTCACATTAAACCCACCCTTAGCTGAAAGTAGTTTATTCAAGTATACACTAAAAATGAGGAAGTGTACTTCAAGCTTACTTTTTATAAACTTTATTTGATATACTTAAAAATAGTATAAAAATGTCCCAATTTAGTCCAAACAAGTATTAGATCAGTATACTTTCTAGTACACTACAAGTATGGTGTAGTATACTTGATATACTTGTACTTAACTTAAAGTATACTTGTAAAAATGAACTTCAAATGTTCTACTTTTTGTTAAAGGCATGTTTCAGGTTGTGGCAGAACTTCATCACAGCGAGGATGATGATGTTCTGTTGCTTCAGGTTTTATCAGTCGGTGTGAAATTATTTTAAAAAGTTAATAAAAAAAACATACGAACCCTTTTTTCTAGACGATCTTAGTACCTTATAACAGTGATGATCTTTTTTTTTCATTTGTGAATAATATTTGAAAGAATAATTGGTTAAAAAGAAGCAGTCTGTAATCAGACTGATCAATGGAAGAATAAACTTTCGGAGCTCAAAGCTGCGGAACAAAATTAATTAGTTTTTTTACTCACTTTCTTGGATCTTTGCTGACAGCTGTTTCTTGTTTCAGTCTGTAAAAAACATAAACATTCAGTGTTTGAGCGGAAACGGAAGCAAAACAATGACGCTGCTGCTTCTTCTTCTTCTTCTGATGAATGTGAGCACAAACTGAGCCACGCCAGTCCTCCACGCTGCTGCCCCCTGCCGGCGGAACCTCGAATTGCATGTCAGAGGACGAGAAGAGCCTCTCCATCCTCTGTTCTCCATGAACAGAACAAGAAGAACAGACACTGTCATCCCTTATGTTGCTGGAGTATCAGAGAAACTCTGAAGGATTGTCTCCAAACACAACATCCCAGAACATTTCAAACCCAACAGGACCCTCAGACAGAGGCTGGCAGGACAAAACACCCAAACAAACAAAATGTTTCTGTAACTGCACGACTAGAACGTCTGAGGTCAGTATCGTCTCTAATGTTATGTTAAAACTGTTAAAATGTAAATAGTCTTTCCCATAGCTGCTCTGGTTTCTCATTATCTAACAGTCTGACGCTTAGAACGACACTATGCGACGAACACGAGCTGTAGAGTAAGTTATGGGTTTTAATTTTTTATAAATGAATCTGTCAGACTTCTGGTTTTTGTTTTGGTGTGGAACCTAAAATCCATCCAGCTGGTTGATTTAATGTGGCCTCAGTGAGCATCACATACAGCAGTTTAGCGTTTTTATCTTGTTTGGTTTGTTTGTTTGTTTTGTAGATTTTTTTTAGACTCCCAGGAAGTGCTGACTAAAAGTTTTATGTGACTGAAAATCCATAACAAGCTTGATTTTTTTAAAAATGTAGGACCCTTACTACTTATTAAAGATCTTATTGTTCCATGTTTTCCTAACAGAGCATTTCATTCCCACTTGGACACATTTTAAAACTCTTTGGTATCTTGATAGAAAAGCGCTCTATAAATGCAGTCCATTCACCATTAAAAGGAGTTAAAAGCAAGAGCTAACCCCATGGTTTTGATTTTTGTGATATACATCTTATTGGCAATTTAAATTACGATGGGGATAAAATTCGAGAGAATCTCATTAAAAAACCCTCAAAGGAATAACCTCAACATCAGCACAACATCAGCACGGAGCTCATCAGAGGCTGAACTCTCCACAAATCTCCACCCATCAGACAACGAAACAACAAATTTACTTACATTTATCTGAATTCCTGTTAGCGCTCGCTAAGTGTATGACATGGCCTTTGTGGTTAATGCTTTAACCATGGATCGGGGTAATGGTTTTAATGGAAATAACGCTCCAGCTGTTGGAAGTTAACATGTTAATGTTTCACAGGAAGGCAAAAGATGACAACCGACATTTTCAGTTTGACTTTTTCTTCTTCTCTCATTGTTAACATCAAACCCAAAAACTGTTTTATAATGCTCAGCTCTTCTCTGTATCTCTTTAATGTTTCCATTAAAACATTTTGCTTTCATTCAATCTAATTATTGATGGATTTGCATGTTCTGAGGGTACATTTATTTTGACAATAACAGAGAAAAGTTCACATGTAAACCTTTTCATGGAGAAATTTCTTAAATAATTATCACTGGTTAAGATATTTGATCAAAAAGTAAGATTGTGTTTATCACAGATGTAAGTTCACATTATATCTTCTAATTTAACAAAAACTCAGATGTTTTTGGATGGATTTTATTTATGTGCAAACAAAAATCTTATTTCACATCAACAAATGTGACTATAGCCTATATGTGTTGAAAAATTACAGCACGTCGAAAAGTGATATGAAATTAGAGTTTATTATAAGAATATCTTGAACCATCAGTTACTTTCAAACTCAAATTACAAATGGTGTAATGATGATGAACAGTTTGATCTGCTGTGATGCTCCAGCGCAGAAAGATACAGAGATGTACTTTACGGCTCTCTGAAGGGAAACAGATCTTGTAGATGCATTTGTTTCAAAAAGCCATTCAGTTTTGAACGACGGTGATGTCACTATGTACAGACTATGAAGAAAAAATGGGAGAGTGAGAGACCGAGAAGAGTAGACAGAAATTAAAGGAGATCCGACCCAGAGCAAAGAGGGAGGTAACAAAGGCAAAACAAACTTTCAAGCACCGTATATATATATATATATATATATATATACATATGTATATGTATGTGTGTGTGTGTACAAGAGAGAGGGAGAGATGTGCTCTAAGTTTTTGTACCTCATCATGTTGTGCTGCTTTCCCAGAAACGCTCCAACACTAACATAGTATCTGGTTTCCTGACCCCATTATGAGCCTGATTGTGTTGTGGCGCTGCTCGTCCAGCTGATGGTCCACTCCAGTGACCTTTTTGTTTCACTGTAGCTTGCAGAGATGTGCTGCTGAGCTGACTGTTTCAGAACAACAAATCCAGATTTGATGACGATGATGATAAAACAAGCAGCGCCTCCAACACAATTATTCATTTCCAGCCAGCTAAAAATGAATAATTCAATCAGTTCAGTTCATTGCAACTTTATTGTCCAGAACATTTCATGAAATGGAGACTTGTCTTTGACATCTGGCTCATAAATACAAGATACAACAAATAAAAGATGCAACAATAAAAACACTAGAATGCATGGCACGTTAAAAACATGAGAACGTCTCATGGTTTATGTGAGGCTACATTTAAAGAGGAACCTGTTTATGGAGGTCACAGCAGAGGAAACAAATGTTTTGCACCCATTCTTTTTCTTAGAGGGACCACCGGTCTTCTGCCTGTTGGCAACAACTTGAATAAGCTGGACGCAGTGGACGACTCATTCTTAACCTGGATTGCCTTTTTTCCTGAACCCTACCAAACGTCTGTGAGCTGTGTTTGTTGACAGACGATTGTTTTACTAGCTCATTCCATCAACAGGGATAACTTGTTCTAATAGGTAAAACTATACAGAAAATATATATTTCATTTTAAATAAATGTTAAATAGAATTTTACATGTAGCGTTTCGTTTGTGCTGAATTCATGGGCCTTCTCTGAAGGTGTAGAAGGCCCTGAGGGTTCCCCACTCTTTGTCGTGCACAGCGCTGCTTCTGAAACTCTCCTGTCACAAACTGGAAACCCTTCACCTGTTGGTCCTTTACCACCTGATTTGTGACAGGAGCTCCCTTCAGCATCATCACTGCGCTTTGTATTCCCTTCTGAACTGGCCTCCACTCCCACAGACCAACACACTGGTTTCTGTAGATCTATAAACCCCTGACTGGGAGCGCCACATCCGACCTCCGCTCATTACTTTACCAACATCCGAGGTAATATTTGTACTTTCCGTTGCAGCAGGTACATCAATCTATGTCTTCCTAAAGATGCACTTCCTTTGATCGTTCATCATTTGAGTTTTCTGCCGCTAACGATTGGATTCAGTTACAACAGACTCTGCAGCTCTTTTCTTTTACCCCCAGTTCATCTTATAAAAGTCCAATAAGGATATTGTTTTATGATCACTGAACGTGCTTTTAGGAGGCTCATTTTCACATTTTGTTGTTGAATTTTAATTTTTGCATTTGTTTTAGCTTTTTGATAGTTATTCATACCGTTGTTGTGTGAGATCAGATGTTTGGTTGTCTGTTATAAATGTATAATAATAATTATGTATAAATGTATAAATTATCCCTCTGCTGCTTTACTGCCTCTTAGCCAGGTCATCTTTGAAGATGACAATGTGCTCTGTTAGGAAAATATGGAACAATAAGATCTGTAATATAAGATGGAGCTAGGTTGTTGAGAGCTTTGTAGGTTAGAAGATTTTGAATTATATTCTGGATTTGACAGGGAGCCAATGGAGAGAAACTAAAACTGGAGAGAGATGATCTCTCCCAGTAACTCCAGTTAAGACTCTGGCAGCAGCATTTTGGATCAACTGAAGACGTTTTAAAGAAGGATTTGGACCCCCAGATAATAAACCATTGCAAATGCATGGACCAGTTTTTCTGCATCATCTTTAGATCAGATGTTTCTAATGTTAGTGATATCACGCAGGTGGAAGAAGGAGGTTCTAGTAACGTTTTTAATGTGGGGGATAAAAGACATGTCCTGATCAAAAATAACACCAAGATTTTTAACATTAGAGCTGGAGGACAGATTAATGCATCTAAGGAGGGAGAAAGACTGAAACGTTCATTCCTAAGGTGCTCAGGTCCAAAAACTAAAACCTCAGTCTTGTCTGTGTTCAAAAGGGTCATCCAGGTTTTTATGTCTTTAAGACATGCTTGTAGTCTAAGTAGCTGATTGGATTCATTGGGTTTAATGGACAAATATAACTGTGTATCATCAGCATAACAATGAACATTTATTCCATGCTGTTTTATAACTTTGGAAAGAAAGAACACGGTCGACAAATGTATAAGATGGGTCTGACTGAAAGTGGGTGTCCTGCTGAATTTAACAAAAACTGAAACAACACTTACTTACATGATGACCGCGTACAACTAACTTTTCAGCTTCTGTCCCACAAAACAACAGTGGCAGAAGCTACAGTGAAATATTTCCAGTTTGTTTCAAAATGAAATATTGAAAGAGCTTGAAAATTGTTTGAACCTTGACACCTAGATCATGATTTGCCACACCCCGGTGTGAATATAAAAAAAAACACTAGCAACAACATCAACAAATATTTTGCAGGGATAATACATTTAATTCCATGTATTTTAAAAAAATCAGGATAATATACAGTAATGACACATATATACTTATATGTTACGCAGTACTTTACATAAATAAATTCAGTTCAGGAGTCTGAAGGTGAGATCCTAACAGACTCATAGAACATGTAACAGCATTACCATATTTTTCGCTGTACAAGTCACACCGTTTTTGCATAAATTACCATGTCCAGTGACTTATACAGCAAAATGACTTATTTATGTTTTTTTCCACATATTTATAACACAGTTTTTGGCTGAGATCTGACAATTTCATTCATTCTAACATGGAGAATATTGAACACTACCCAACAATTTTCAGTCAGGTCATCTGGACAGTTTTTTTGTTTTTTTTTCTGAAACGTTTCACCTTCCATCCAGAAGGCTTCATCAGTCAAGGAAACACAACACAAAACTGATTCTTCCCCCAAACAGCTTACTCCAAAGAGGAACAAACCAGTTATGTTGGTGCTAAAATGGTGTCTTTGGCACGCCCCCTCAGCCGGTGCCGGCCCTCTCCCTCGTCGACAGTCATGTCAAACTGGTTCAAAACCAACAAAGTCCATGCTCAATAATCCAGGTATACAATCCAACAATTTTCAGTCAGGTCATCTGGACAGTTTCTTTTTTTTTTCTGTCCAGATGACCTGACTGAAAATTGTTGGATTGTACACCTGGATTATTGAGCATGGACTATGTTGGTATTGAACACTACCATTTTCAGCCACTAGAGGGTGGTAGACTAATATGGCAAGCCAAGTGTCTCATTAATAGGTAAAAGTGGCTATTAATGAGACACTTGGTTTGCCATACAGGCCACCTACATCTCGCTCCAGGAATTCTGGAGCAAACGTCAAATCAGCTGCATTTCACTGCGCCGCCCAGGTGAAATTCAGCTGATTTGAGCATTAAAGTGAATTTATTAAGGAAAAGTTCAACTGAGATACATCTTCGCTATAATGTCGAGCGAACAAATAATTGTTTTTAGGTGGTTATCTTGTTATATTTCAAAGAAATTAACAGCGAGTCCTCTTTCTGTGCGCTTCCACAGCCGCAGATTGGCTTTTGATATGAAGCTGATTTGACCGTCAAAGTGCTTTTATTAAGGAAAAGTTCAACACCTTTGCTATAATGTCGAGCAAACAAATAATTGTTTTTAATTGATAATCTTGTTAAACTCTTGTTAAAGTCTTCCTGTGCACGCTCTCACGGCCACCATTTAGCAGCCAATCAATTTTTTGCACAACACCGGCCCACGTTTCCGGGTGGTCAGCGGTGACGAATAACAGATGCTACTTATGCTGCGAAGCGACATATTTATGTTTTTTTCCACTTTATTAGACGTTTTTGAACAGATGCGACTTATGCTGCGAAGCGACATATTTATGTTTTTTTCCACTTTATTAGACGTTTTTGAACAGATGCGACTTATGCTGCGAAGCGACATATTTATGTTTTTTCCACTTTATTAGACGTTTTTGAACAGATGCGACTTAAGCTGCGAAGCGACATATTTATGTTTTTTTCCACTTTATTAGACGGTTTTGAACAGATGCGACTTATACGGCGGTGAGACGTGTACGGCGGCAAGTACGTTAAGTTCAGGACGCTCAGCTTGTTATGACAAAACCAAACCCTGCCTCCAAATACTGACGCCACATTAGGCTGTGACTGCACGATAAAACATCCTGTAAGTCTAATGTAGTGACACCAGAAACCACGCAGGCTCCATTACCGACGTCAGACTGCACACAGCACAAAGTGACTTTTTCCTTTGAGCCACTGTTATCATGCACAGAAGAGCTCTCAACGTATTTTCTTGATAGTTTTCATGAAGCCAGACAAAAATAAAGACATGACAAGCGTGTGGTTCTTATCCATCACTAACTCTTCATGAGTGGCTCGTGTTTAATGGAAGTGCTCGGTGGGTTTTGATACGATTAGCCTAAAAGCTGCTGTAAGTGAATCAATGCCTAACGTTATTTTCTGGATATGGTTAGACATGTATTAGAAGTGGAGACTGAACCACGCGGCTAACAGCTGCCTTTTGCACAAAATTACTTCTCCACTCTCTGCGGTCCACCGCGCACTTGATGCGGTTTCTCTCATTGAACGGGCTGTTTAATGGAAGTCGTGTTATAAAGCGCAGACGTGGACGCATTTGTTGGTACTTTGCAGCTCATTAAACAATGCTTCACTTCTTATGAAAAGTGATACAGTTAAAGCAGTTGTTTATTGTATATCTGTGTGTCATCAGCATGAGATAGAATAAAAGTAACGTTTTCAAAATAATGCATTTGGTATTTATTTTGCAAAGATATGCAAAAATGTGACGGACAGATTTGGAGCACAGCTGACAGTATTGTTAAAACGAGTAAGGTTGGTGGGACTGCAGACAAACTGTCACGATGTGAGCACAAAGCCAAATGTTCAAGTTGATCAGGTGTAGATAAAAGAGCAAGGAAAATCATTCAGAACATTTCAAGCTGAACTTCAATGTCACAATACTTTTTGTTTTGATTCATTACGAAGATCGTGAGCATCAAGATCATCACATCATGGATGAAGACACAGGACGCTTCATTATTCACAGAAAAGTACGCCCAGTACTATTATTGTCCCAGTAATAGTATGAGCTTCATCTTTTATCCAAAAGACTTCTTCAGTCTGAGGAGCTGCAACAAAGCAGCACCTTCTCATAGTGCATCAACCGATCTGCCGGTTGGTTCCCATGTAAAATGAGGACCATCAGCCTAACGGATGATCGTTAGTGCCCTAATTCATTCAAGCTTTATTTCTACAGGTTGATCCCATTGAGCCTCAGGGACTCATTTACAAGAGAGACCTGATTTTAACAAAGAGTGATGACAACAGTGGACAATCATAAAGGATACTACAAGTTGAGAAGAACAAATAAAAGAAAATGGTATAAAAAAGAAATAAAAACAGCAAGATAGTAAAGCGATGTAGAAAACTAAAAACAGGAACTTATCAGATGTTTGAAGCCACTTAGAGAGGTCAAGGTCGAGAGCTTCAGGTGTTTTTACAAGATATTCCAGGAAACAGGAGCGGAGTAGGAGAAGGTCCTGTTGTCTAGTTCAGTCCTCACTGAAGGAACACTGCAGGTAATGATGTCCTGAGAGCGCACACTGTAGCTGCACTCACACAGAGACATGTAGGAGGAGATGTATGAAGGCAGCAGACCAAGAAGTGATTTAAAGATGAAGATGTACCAGTGGGAGAGTCTGTGTGAAGTTAATGGTGACCAGTTAACTTATGTCCGCTTGCTATTCACAGAGGGCTGAGTGATACTCTTAGAGGGGGACAGTTACAGTTACTCTTACATTGCTGTTACTGCATCACTGTCCAGACTGAAGAAGGAAACGTTTCCACAACAAGAATCCATCCAGAGGACCGGACTCAACATTGTTAGAATTTTCTTCCTGGACTTTTGAGCAACAGGACAATCACCGTCTTGTTCATTTGACTGTTTTCACAGAGACGTTTGGTCACAAAGAAAAGTTATTTAAAGTTTTGAGGCACGGACCTGTAAAGTTAAAAGTGAGTTGAAGAGGCATGGATGCCATCAATAAGGGCTCCTCACACAGGAGCTCCATCTTCATGACTGACATGGAACAAACACGTCTGTCCTCCACGAGAAACATCACGACTTTTCTTGGAATGACGACGTCCCACTTGTCCAAAAAAAAGCCTTTCAGGTCGCAGCAGCCATTCAGTAAAAATCACTTAGCACAGACTTCTGAACACCTTTTAACTGTGTTTGTGCGTGTGTTTGAGTAGCTTTAGTAAAATATCTCATGAACCTCTCAACAGGTACTCAGACCTGCATCTATGACCGGTTCACTTTAAGTCAATCCAATTCAAGATGGCCGCCACAACCACCTGAGCTTAGAAACCACGCAAAACGCCTTTAGGTCAGCCAGTTTCTTTGATTTAAAGTTAATTTTCAGTGTGGTAGAAGCTGAGCATCATCCTCAACACGTTCTCTGAGAATTATGAAATCAAATTATTATCTTTAAATATTAACATTATATTATGATAATTAACACTGTAATTAATAAATCAAATTGTAAAAATATACATATATATATATACAACTAATAAAATAAAGTATTAATTATAAATAAATTATTAATAACAATAAACCATAATTACATTAATTTAAATTAATATAAATATAATTAAATGGATATAATTAATATTTATTTTGTTATTAATAATTTATTTTATTAATTATATATTTGATTTACTGATTACAGTATTAAATATCATAATTATAAATATATATAATATATAAATAATAAATATATATGAATAATAATTATATCAATTTCATTAATATAAAAATAATTATAACTGCCGAGTCTTCGTGCGACTTAGTTCGCTGTGGCGACCCCTAAAATAGGGAGCAGCCGAAAGAAGAAGAAGAAAAAAGAAAAAATGTATATAAATATAATTATAATATATAATATAATTAAATTAAATTATTATTAAATATTACATCTGACAATATTTCATACTTTCACAAGATTGCACATAACCTCATTCATGGCATTTGACTGAAATGTCCACAACTCGATGATTTCTTAACATAAGATGATTTATATTCTGACATGAACGGTGGAATGTGAGATACAAATACTTCAAGGAACGCTAGACGCTTTCATGTGTAATTTAAATGACATTTAAATGTTTTAAGGAATGAACCAAATCTTTGCTCCAAATGTTTTTAGAAACTCAAACAACAGAGGCGACTGAAAGACGTTTGGAGACCAAACTAAATCAAAATGCTGTCAGTTCTGCATTCAAAGGTTAAAAGAGCTGAAGTTGAGCTTTAGTTTTTGTCTGAAGGCTGTGCAAACAGCTGAATGCATTCACGGGGAGGGAGGGGCTGATTAGGAGGCTGTGGATGCTGGAAGGAGGACCAATGATAAACCGCACCAGGATGAAAGAGGAGACAGGACGAGTGGAGGCGGATGGACAAAGAAAATGAAAGCTGTTTATCTCCTCGCTGATCGTTGTGACATGTGAAGTTTAAAGTGACGAGGAGGAGAGCGCCGAGACTCACCGAGCTGCAGGACACAAACTTCAGTGGGAAGAGAAGCCTCTTTCTGAGAGAAGATCCACTCACTGCAAAGATGTGGTCGTGCGTAAAGAACTTCTTCACTTATGAAACGACTAAATCAGTGGTTGTGAAGAGCTGGACCATTGGAATTATCAACCGGATCGTCCAACTCATCATCATTTCTTACTTCATTGGGTGAGTGAACATCTTTGATCTCGTTCTTTTATTCTGGCTGTGTTTTTAATTTGCATTGATTTATTGCGTCCTGCTTTTATTTGTTTTATCTTGTAAAGCACTTTGGTCAGTGCGAGGCGTTGCTGGAAGGTGCAATAGAAATACAGTTTATTATTATTATTAATAACTCTCAGAGGTTAAACTGGTCCGACTGAAGTCAACAAGAACTGTGCATTAGTCAGTACATTGTGCAGATCCTTTTAAGTAAATTAAGTCAGTGGTTGGTGATTGCATGAAAAAAATTATATTCTCAAATATCCTTAAAACTTTTATCTTTTGGATGAAGGTGAAAGGTCTCAGCAAAAAAAAAAGAAACCGTCCAGATGACCTGACTGAACACAGTTGGATTTGTACCTGGATTGTTGAGATTATTTAAAACAATTTCATGCACTGAAATATAACTTTGTATTACTATAACAGACAAATAATTCACCGTGTACTAAATAGTAGATACCTCACTTGAAATAAAAAAAAATTCTAGTTTATAACTTTAATATTTGTGTCAGTGCAGACCCATTAGCTGTGGTTCCAGTTTCTTTCTCTGGTCCAGTCTCTGGTTCATTTCAGCCGTGGTGATTCAGAACCCTTCAGGGAGCTCCAACCCTTTAACACATCTGCTCTAAACGTATACGTGACGTGTGCAGGATCATATGCAGGAATCAGAGAAAATATAACATGACTCAGTTTTATCTAGTAAGTTATTCCCAACCAGCTGGAGATACACATAGAAAATCATTGTTAACACGAAAACAAAAAAAGTTTGAATTACTCCTTAATTTGTAAAATGGCAGCAGCTGAGGCTGAGTGGATAGAACAGTCGGCCTTCAGTTGGAGAGTTGGGGGTTTGATTCCACCAGCAGTCACAAGTTGAAGTGCCCCCGGGCAAGACACTGAACCCGTGTGTCCCATCAGTGTCTGAATGGGTGACACTTTGTTTGAAGGGGTGTGAATAACACGGACATAACACCTGTCATGAACATGACCGAGTCTTTATGAATGTTTATGACTGATGTCATTAAGTGTCATTTAGTAAATCATGACACCTTTATTGCAAAGTTGACGTTGTTTAAAATGTCAAGTTGTCATAAAGACATTTTAAACAACGTCTCTCGCTCACTCCATTCCATCTGAACAGCAGGTTCAGGCTGTGGATCCCGGTGCAACATGACACTTTTTACACTGAAATAAATTATTAAAGCTCAACTTTTTAAAAGCATATTTGAGAATACAGGAGAGCAATTAAAACTATACAAATAAACAAAAACCAATACCTGAAATAAAGTGTTCATTTGTTTTTTTTTTGTCAGAAAAAATGTCCAATTTTTTTTACATGGAAGTGCTGGACCTAAGCGTAGTAACGCCGTCCGCCTGCAGGTGGCGTGTGTTCCTGATGGCTTCAACTTCCAGCTTCTGTTCTTATGGCTGACAACGAGAAGAAGACAAATATTTCAACAGCATCATCATAGTCGTGCTTATATCCTAATCTCAGACTAGAATTCATGAAAAAGTCAAAGTATGCCATTTTTGACAAAGCTAATAACTAATAAATAATATAACATATAATATAATATAATATAATATGGGATGGGTCTATATTGACATGTTGTTTGGTTTGGATTTAAATTAAAGTCCTAACTTTAAGAATTACTGCATTATTATGGTAATCTGTCTGAGGGCAGTATGCATTTATATCTACAGTATTTGCAATTACCAGTGTATATTAATCTTCTATGGGCTTTTGTTTCCATGATGTCTTCTCATTTGAACTTCTTCTGTCTGACCTGACATAACAGACTCAATACTTTTAATCCAAAAATGCAACATTTACACTGATTAATAAATAAAAAAAAAAAAATTTGAACAATTACAGTACATGGCCTCGCTTTAGCGTTATATTTCTCAGTACTTTGTAATTTGTGACTGGAAATTAATATTATATTTGTAAGTTTATGTTTTCATTGTATTTTTTAGACCTAAAATGTAATTTTGCCAAATTTTTGTGTTTTTATTTGTATGTTTCAGGTGGGTGTTTCTTTGGGAAAAGGCCTACCAGGTGAGAGACACCGCAATTGAGTCTTCGGTTATGACCAAGGTCAAAGGTTTTGGAGTATACAATAACAGGGTCATGGATGTTGCAGACTACGTCACCCCAACGCAGGTATGGCAGGATGTATAGACGGGTGGACTGAGGCAGACTGACAGCGGCATGCAGTAATACTTATGTGCACTTTCTGCAGGGAGGCTCAGTCTTCTGCATCATCACTAAAATGATTACCACAGAGAACCAAGTCCAAGGATACTGCCCTGAGGTTAGCTTCTATTACGGTCACTTCAGTGGGTTTACACCATTAGTTTCCACGACTCCTATAGTAGAATCATTTAAAAACAGCTAGTGGACAAAAATAAAAACAAGCCGAGGTTTATTTTAAATGCTGATGTCAGGTTGACTAAGAACCACCCTTTTATTGAGCAACATGTTCCATTAACTTTTACCAGTCAAATATATATATATATATTTTAACAACAAATTGTGACGATTAGAAAGAACTCATTCAACCATTTCCTTCCATCAGGTGTAGCTTCTCTGGAACCACCTGAGGTAGTTTTACTTCTGACACCTACACTGTTTCTTGCTCACTGGTTTAGCCTAATTACTGGTATTAATCAGGACTCCCAAACCCTTTACACGTTTGTAAAGACCCCATACCAACTCAACCTTTTAAAGATATTTAAACTTTTATGAACCAGTCTGTTTCTTTCACATGGTTATGTTCCACAAGCTTTCAAGTTGCTGTAAATTAAAAATGCTGTAAACATACATATGTACATAGATAAAAATAATACTTTGGAACCAATTTTTTCATCTAAAACTGACAAATATTCTATAATGGTTTCATTTTTAAAATCCTTGAAAGAAAATCTACCTAAACAACTGTACTGCAGATGTACTCAATGCACAATTATAATCTCCATGAAGTTTTCAGTCAGCATACAGATTATGCCACAGTACTAAAACAGCCCTGTTCAGACAAAGTGTCGTAAGCTCAATCATCCAGGTAGATGACAACAAAAAGTTTGAATCGTGTCATCTGGACCAGTTTCTTTAAGTGAGAAACGTTTCATCCTCCATCCAGAGGACTTCCTCAGTCTGCGGCCTGCCAACCAGATCTGTCCCACAGGTAGCCTTCACTGCTGTTTCAAGCCAACCTCCTGTGGGAATCTCTGAAGTAGACTTTGAACACGTGCAAAATACACTCATCCAAAACAATCAATCATCATGTACAACAATCAAATGTTTTCAAATGGATGATTGAGCTTACGATCCTTTTTCTGAACCACTTTGACCTTGGTTGTCCTCAGGCTGTTTCTGTGAGTAGCAAGTTGGACATCTGACCTAAAACATTTGACCAATTCTGCAGCCCCCTGGGCATTAAGATAGGATAATACTGTTGTAGTTTCAAAGCTAACTCACAAACATCAACATGTACAAAGTCAAAGTAACACAAATCATATTTCAGAAGAGTTGCTGGGTGATGACTTGCTTTTATTCATTTATTTATTTTTAGAAAACAAAGAGAAACCTGAAATTACATTGTGTGTTGTTCTGGACAGGAGGACGTGGGGTTACAAATAGCTGTGGACTGGCATCTTTTTGACATGGATCATTTGATTTGATCTATTTGTAAAAGTAAATAAGTATCATAATAAATAAATAAACACACCTTTTTGTTTGTTGTCCAGAGTGGGAAGAAGTATAACTGTACGCACGACAGCCACTGCAAACGATTCCTTCAAAAACCAGCTGATAATGGTATGACCCGATATCTTGTTTATTTGTCTAGTTCTCATCATTTCCACTAAAGTTTATGTGAGAAATATACTGTGTATAAGTACACTTTCCTCTGTAAGTACTGGAACACTGAGGCCTGACCCTTTCCTTAAGCTGTAGGCTAAAACCATTTGGGTTTGATATCCAAAGATGAATATGAGTTCAAGAGCCAAAACGCCACTTGATTATTGGTGGGGGGACAATAAACAGAGATTCATTAGGACATACCTGCAACTCACAAGGGACATGGGACATATGCAGGAACGATGGCGTCAACCAGAAAATAAAAATAAACAAGCAGCAAGACAAACACCCATCCATCCATCCATCCATTCATTTTCTTCCGCTTATCTGGAGTTGGGTCGCGGGGGTAGCAGCCTAAGTAGAGAAGCCCAGACTTCCCTCTCCCCAGCCACTTGGTCCAGCTCCTCCGAGGGAATCCCGAGGCGTTCCCAGGCCAGTTGAGAAACATAGTCCCTCCAGCGTGTCCTGGGTCTTCCTCTGGGTCTCCTCCCGGTGGGATGTGTCCAGAACACCTCACCAGGGAGGCGTCCAGGAGGCATCCTAAACAGATGCCCGAGCCACCTCAACTGACTCCTCTCGACATAGAGAAGCAGCGGCTCTACTCTGAGTCCCTCCCAGATGATCGAGCTTCTCACCCTGTCTCTAAGGGAGAGCCCAGACACCCTGCAGAGAAAACTCCTTTTGGCCGCTTGTATCTGAGATCTTGTTCTTTCAGTCACAACCCAAATCTCATGACCATAGATGAGGGTGGGAACGTAGATCGATCGGTAAATTGAGAGCTTCGCCTTTTGACTCAGCTCTCTCTTCACCACGACAGACCTGTACAGCGCCTGCTTCACTGTAGACGCTGCACCTATCCATCTATCGATCTCACGCTCCATTTTTCCCTCATTCGTGAACAAGACCCCCAAGATACTTGAACTCCTCCACTTGGGGCAGGACCTCCTCCCTAACCCGGAGAGGGCACTCTACCCTTTTCCGGCTCAAGACCATGGCCTTGGATTTGGAGGAACTGATCTTCATCCCAGCCGCATCTGCGAACCACTCCAGCGAAAGCTGTAGATCACAATCTGATGAAGCCAATAGGACCACATCATCTGCAAAAAGCAAAGAAGCAATCCTAAGGCCACCAAAACAGATCCCCTCAACACCTTGGCTGCGCCTAGAAATTTTGTCCATAAAAGTTATGAACAGAATCGATGGCAAAGGGCAACCTTGGCGGAGTCCAACTCTCACCGGGAACAAGCCTGACTTACAGTCCCCCTTTTTGAATAGGGGGACCACCACCCCGGTCTGTCAATCCAGGAGAACTTCCCCTGATGTCCACGCAATATTGCAGAGTTGCATAAGCCAAATAGGCCCAATAGGACTCCTTCTTCAGCCTGACAGCATCCCTCACTGACGGTGTCCACCACCGGGTTCAAGGGTTGCCGCCGCGACAGGCACCAACAACCTTGTGGCCGCAGCTCCAGTAAGCCACCTCAACAATAGAGGCACGGAACATGGCCCACTCGGACTCAATGTCCCCCACCTCCCCCTCCCTGGGCTGCCACCTTACCGTGGTGGAGGGGTTTGAGCCTCAAACACCCCCATAAACCCCCACCCCGAAAAAAAACTCTTCGGGTCTGGATGATTCAAGTAAATTACTTATTTTGATTGAAATTTGTGAATTTTGTGAAATTTCAATGACTGATCTGTAAACTAAACCATGTGACTCTACTAACCAATGGCAACCAAAGAAGTTTTCAAAATAAAATGCATCCTTTCAGTACAACTAGAAGACACTGCTGTGGCACGTCACACGCAGCATTGCCCTTTATATTACCATAATAGAAATAGTATAAAAACTCTAACTATGTTTGGCAGAATTGATAAATTCTACATTCAAATGATAATTTATGGAAAATGGGCTTTCACCATTCAATCATTCAACCTTGCACTGGGCTTATCATCATGTCAGTCGTGACAATCTTCATGATAATCAGAATCTGCATCTGACACGAGAACCAGCTGTCAGTTTAGGTTTGTACTGGTATGGTCCATTAGACCTTTGCTGCGTTCCAGCATTTCTTTAAAGCCTATGAAGTCTTCTGCTTCCATTTACACTGATAAACTTTGAGATCATAACCTTGCTCTTTGCCCTTTCATGTCCTTAGGCTGAATGGACTGGTCCCCCAAATCAAACAACTGAAAGAGATTGAAAGCCCAGAAAAGCAGATCAATAGAAAAATGTAAAAGTTTGGTCTCAGTGGGTTTGATGGAGTTATTGTATGCAAACATCCATCCATCCATCCCTTATCTTAACCCACTTTTTCCTTTTCGGGTTGCGGGGCTCACTGGTGCCCAAGTCCGGTCATCACTCTGAGAGAGTCAGGGGACACCCTCGATAGGTATCCAGTCTATCAGAGGGACACATAAATACAAACAAGACAAACAACCATTCACTCTCTCTCACCTAGGAATCATCCATCCATTTTCTTCTGCTTATCCGGAGTCGGGTCGCAGGGGTAGCAGCCTAAGTAGAGAAGCCCAGACTTCCCTCTCCCCAGCCACTTGGTCCAGCTCCTCCAGGGGAATCCCGAGGCGTTCCCAGGCCAGCTGAGAAACATATTCCCTCCAGCGTGTCCTGGGTCTTCCTCTGGGTCTCCTCCCGGTGGGACGTGTCCGGAACACCTCACCAGGGAGGCGTCCAGGAGACATCCTAAACAGATGACCGAGCCACCTCAACTGGCTTCTCTCGACGTGGAAAAGCAGCGGCTCTACTCTGAGTCCCTCCCGGATGATCGAGCTTCTCACCCTATCTCTAAGGGAGAGCCCAGACACCCTGCGGAGAAAACTAATTTTGGCCGCTTGTATCTGAGACCTCGTTCTTTTGGTCACAACCCAAAGCTCATGACCATAGATGAGGGTAGGAACGTAGATCGATCGGTAAATTGAGAGCTTCGCCTTTTGACTCAGCTCTCTCTTCACCACGACAGACCGGTACAGCGCCTGCTTCACTGCTGACGCTGCACCTATCCACCTATCGAGCTCATGCTCCATTTTTCCCTCATTCATGAACAAGATCCCAAGATACTTTAACTTTTCCACTTGGGGCAAGACCTCCTCCCTGACCTGGAGAGGGCACTCTACCCTTTTCCAGCTCAAGACCATGGCCTTGGATTTGGATGAACTGATCTTCATCCCAGCCGCGTCTGCAAACCGCTCCAGCGAAAGATGTAGATCACAATCTGATGAAGCCAATAGGACCACATCATCTGCAAAAAGCAAAGAAGCAATCCTAAGGCCACCAAAACAGATCCCCTCAACACCTTGGCTGCGCCTAGAAATTTTGTCCATAAAAGTTATGAACAAAATTGGTGACAAAGGGCAACCTTGGCTGAGTCCAACTCTCACCGGGAACAAGCCCGACTTACTGCCGGCAATGCGAACCAGGCTCTGACACAGTCATACAGGGACCTAACAGCCCGTATCAAAGGGCCCAATACCCCATACTCCCAGAGTACCTCCCACAGGGTTCCCAGAGGGACGCGGTTGAACGCCTTCTCCAAGTCCACAAAGCACATGTAGACCGGATGGGCAAACTCCCACGCACCCTCCAGGACCCTGCTGAGAGTGTAGAGCTGGTCCAGTGTTCCAAGACCAGGAAGAAAACCGCACTGCTCCTCCTGAATCCAAGCTTCGACTATCCGACGGACCCTCCTCTCCAGAACCCCCTAATAGACCTTACCAGGGAGGCTTAAGAGCATGATCCCCCTGTAGTTGGAACACACTCTACGGTCCCGCTTTTAGAATAGGGGAACCACCCCCCCGGTCTGCCAATCCAGGGGAACTTCCCCCGATGTCCACGCAATATTGCAGAGTCGCGTAAGCCAACACAACTCTAAAACATCCAGAGCCTTAAGGAACTTCGGGCAAATCTCATCCACGCCTGGGGCCCTGCCACCGAGGAGCTTTTTAACCACCTCGGTGACCTCAGCACCAGAGATTGGAGGGCCTGACCCAGAGTCCCCAGGCTCCGCTTCCTTAGTGGAAGACGTGCCGGTGGGATTGAGGAGGTCTTTAAAGTATTCTGCCCATCGACCCACGACATCCCGAGTGGAGGTCAGCAGCACACCACCCCCACTATAAACAGTGTTGGTGGTGTACCGCTTTCCTCCCCTGAGATGCTGGATGGTGGACCAGAATCGCCTCGAAGCCGTGCGGAAGTCATTCTCCAGGGCCTCTCCAAACTCCTCCCATGCCTGAGTTTTTGCCTCAGCAACCACCCGAGCCGCATGTCGCTTGGACTGCCGGTACCCATCAGCTGCTTCCGGGGTCCCACAGGCCAAAAAGGTAACTCTAAGTTGTTCCTAGGTGACCTTCCCATGGACTCACCACTTGTGGGAGGGGCCAAAGGGGTCGGGTGCAATGTGGGATGGGTGGTGGCCGAGGACCCTGGTGGTCTGATCCTCAGCTATGGAAGCTGGCTACTGGGACGTGGAATGTCATCTCTCTGGTGGGGAAGGAGCCTTTGCTGGTGTGTGAGTTTGAGAGGTTCCGGATAGAAATAGTCGGACTCACCACTACGCATAGCTCTGGCTCTGGAACCAGTTTCCTTGAGAGGGGTTGGACACTCTTCCACTCTGGAGTTGCCCCTGGTGAGAGGTGCCAAGCAGGAGTGAGTATACTTATTGTCCCCCATCTTGGTGCCTGTGTGTTGGGGTTCACCCCTGTGAATGAGAGGGTGGCCTCCCTCCGCCTACGTGTGGGGGGACTGGTTCTGACTGTCGTTTGTGCTTATCATCATCATCATCATCAACTTTATTTATAAAGCACTTTAACACAGCCATAGCTGAAACAAAGTGCTGAAACATCAGTTAAAAACAAGATAAAAGACAGCATAAAAACAGAGCTACAAACCCAAGCACACAACTCAATTTAAAACACAATAAAACAACAAGTTAAACAGATAAAAT